GCTCCATAGCATGTTGTTCGGAATTCTGTCACTGGGCGCGAGGGCTCGGATTTCCAGGATCCCCCTTAAGAGCTTGATGGCTCTGTTTCTGCCCTCTGGCGAGAGGTGCAAGCCAAAGTCCAGCCATCGCTGTCCAATTGGTCGGTTGTCTGTGCCGGCTGACGCGTCGTCGACTTACGTTCAATCTGGCTGGGGCGCTACTGCTCCTCTTCCTTGCGCGCCCGCACCGTGGGGCCGAATTTGCAGTGTCAGCGCAATCCTCATAGCCATCCCTGCGGGACTGCGTGGCGAGAGGCGTTCCGAGACGGCTATCCCTTCACGCCCTGCGTTGGCTACAATGGCCGCACAAGCTACTTCCACCGCGGACGTGTCGCCCTCGGCACCAAGGCGAAGGTCCCTCGCCCGCGGCTTGCTCGAGAAAGTCGCCTCCTATCTCAGCGCGCAGCCCGGCAATATCACCCTACGGGACAGTCCATAATCCTCGTCCTTAAATCGCCCACGTCAATCTCCCCCGCAGTGAGCTCCGGGGCGCGGGTCGGTGTTATGATGTGGTCCGCGCGCGCTCGGCAGCCAGGGGCCCATTCCCGAAGCTGTCGATTCACTGAAGTATCTAGAATGCGTTCCCGGATCCGCGTGGTTGCTTCTAGGGCCCAGCCGCGGGGGGCCCCGCGGAGCCTGGCTAGGGCTCCGACTGCGCATCTGAGGGCTGGTTCATCACCTAGTTGCACATTGCCACTGTCGACGGAGCCGTGCCAGAGGTCATTGGAGCTGTCTGCCATGTGGCGCCATGCTGCTAGTAGTTCGGCGACGAGCCATGAGGGAGTGAAGCTGGTAGTCTCTGGTAGTTGGTGTGACGGGCAGATGTGGCTCGCGATGGGCGCGTATCTTGCCCCGACCATTGCCAGATGGAACGAGAGCTGCGCCCCCATAGCGTCCAGGGGGTGTCCAGGGGCCACGAAGGTGCCAGGGTCAACGTCGTCCTCCGCCAAGCACCATGGCGCGGCTAGCCTGAGGCGCGCAATGCACGTGGGCCCCCTGGGGCCCCGGATGAGCCATGATCCGCAGCATCCGCACCTCGTAGCGGGGTGGAACAAATTTCCGAACATCAGCCTGTGTGACGTGGTATTTGAAGGCCAGGAATCACCTGATTCATCGCCGCCATGCACAGCCACCCCGGGTATACCGGGTGCGCGTGCTGGTGGGGGGACTTTTTGGTCTTCGGCCGCGCGACAACGGTCTGGCGGCGAAGGGCAATGTCCGGGGCGGGCGGCGCAAAGCGAATTGGCGACCCCAACCGCCGCGCTGGCAGGCCGGATCGCATCTGCACAACAAGCGTGCAGTTGCACATGCACTGAACAAAATGCTCTGCATTCACCAGCAGACGCACCTAGGCGCCGCCCAGTTATACCAAAGTGTACAAGCGACCGCGGGTGCGAGCGCGGCGCCAAACTCCAAGCAGCCAGCCCGGCAAGCTAAGAAGCACGAGCCCGGGGCGCAGGCTGCCGGCGGTGGAAAACGCGATGCAAAAGACGCGGAAGGCTGAACCTCTCAGCGCGCAGCCCTCGAACGCCACCGCTGAGTTGGGGGGGCCGGCGGCGCCCATCGCAACGAGTCCGGCGCCTGCGTCGAAAGGCCCAAGGTGGATGCGACGATGCAAAAAACGTGGGCTGCACCAGGCTGCGACACTCAAAACGAGGCACTCGGGCACGCAACCCCCAGTGCCGGCGGGCACCAGCGACTGCCCGAGCACCACAGTGCCGTCCTGCTGCGGAGAGGCCCACCGATGCCAGCCGCGGACAACGCAGAGGGTCGGCCCGCGGGGGGGGCCCCCCCAAGCTGCCTGTCCGACGGGTCATCGCTGGTGGGGAGACTCGAAGCGTCAAGAATTTGCATTTTGCCAAAATCACGGTTGCGCGTGCGGCGAGACCCCTTGGAGTGCACTGCACTCTCTGATTCCAAAGTATTGCGCTGAATTATCCGAAACGCTTTCCTGCGAAATATAAAAAACTTCTATAACTATTGGAAAGGGGGGAACAACCAGTCTAAACTAGCTCAGTACCTGGGAAGCGATGTCGCGAGATGAAACCCCGCATGCGTCGTGGGCGGGGGCCGCCGCATTGATCCTCGCCTGTTTCGGGGGGGCCCTGCCCCGCATAACATGAACGGGCAATGGATGGCTCCGCCGCCAACTTAAACTTACACAAACTTCCTGGCGGCCGTTGAGTCGGCAAGAGCTGGCGCGAACGCGGACAGTTGTCTGCGTCGCCCTGCCGCCCCGAGATGCCGCAAAAGCCTAGGCAAGCAAGTGTTGATATTATATGATCACGCGTATTCTTGGAATCGAATGTGGACTTGGGCGGCATATGCGCGGGCGCAATAAAGCCCTTCCAAGGCGTTGCAAGAGGAAACAGCACGGCAACGTACGATATCAAACGCTATGTTCCTTCCCCGCGGTGGCCGAGCATTGCGATCGTCGCCTGCCCCTGATCGCTCGCGCCTTCCATGTAGATGGCGTGAATCTCGATGAGAGAGTGCTGTTAACATGGATTTTGCGGTGGGCTTTCTTGCGGACCACCTCGTCAACCTGCAGACTTAGGTTCGCCATGGAAAAGGCATCTATCACTGGCGCGACCTGGGGCGGTGAAGCAGGTTCGAAAGACTTCAGACAAGTGTGCCATGATCCGTCGGCCGTGAATATTGGGCGCGGCGCTGCGCAAGGCACGCGCCGGCGAGTAGCCAGCGCCAAACGCCAAGGAAACGACAAGTAGGCCAATGGACAGAAACGGTTGAACAATATCAAGTCCTTGAGGGACTTGAAGCGTGTCGGAACTAACTGAGATTTGGCGTTGCGGCGATGGAAATGAGGCGGTGGGATGGTCTCCGAGGGGAACCAGGAAGTTTGATTCTCAGGCGGCCAGGCGATTTGTTCAAATAGCTGTGAAAAATACTTTAAATCTTGCGCTGGCGTTCGAACCATCTACGGGCACGGTCGCGCACGCTGCCGCGAACATTCACCGCTGTGCCAAGGAAGTTCGGATGCCCACGACACCTGGACATCGACGTGGTGACGGGCGTCCGGGGGGGGGGGGGGGCTTCTCTCGGGTTCTCAATCATGTTCAAAGACATCTCCAAGACCAGCAACAATCATCGTGGGCTCACAGGCCCTGGGGGCCGACTGGCGATATGCTTACTTGACAGGGGAAGGCGAACGGGTCAACCAGAGACCCCTGCATGCTTAACATGAACAACGGCGACCCGCTGCTGATCACTGATGCGCCGTTCTACCAAATCGAAAACAAAGGTGCGCGTGATCTCTCGCGTCCGCGCGTGAGCCAAAACGCGTCTAGGCATTTGAAAGACCTAGGCGACCCCATTGCCCTGGAAATCCTGGGCGCGGGTCTCCCGACGGATCCACCCTGAAGTTCTCTTTCGGGCGAGGAAGATCCAGGGCCATTCAGACCGCTACCAAGGACGTGTTCTGCATATCGTATGCGACGGCAAAGGAGCTGCATGACTGGACGTGCGAAGTACCTCCTGTATGCCCGCTTTGTCCCTCCCCCGGGGGAAGAACGCGGGGCTCGGTCTGGCACAGCTGCTTTATCTATCACAGCTTGGTTGAGAAGCGGGTCGAGTTCCTGAGCACCGAGCAAGTTCGAGAAGCACTTGAGGCAAGAGAGAAACATCCTCGCTAAGCTAGTCCGTGGATGGCCACTCCAAGGTGCATCGGCGACGCCTCGCGGGATGGTCAAGAGCGGAAGGTCTGGAGGCAATACTAAATTCAAACTCAATTCTAAAGATGAGTTGTTTCTGGACGAGGTGTGCCGCACCACCACCTACGTTGTGGTTGCCAGGGCTGGGTGGGTTGCCATTCGGATCGATGAACACGGTGAATCAATCAGACCTGCGCGGGGATCTCCAATAACTCGTACCCGAAAGTTTTTGTTTTTTCTGAGCACTACGCCCTGCTCCAGGCCTTGGAGCATGTCGAACCATAATAAGGTTCGGAGCCGTTCAGGCTGCACGTCAACTTTTACACCCTCTTTCAGGCCCGCAGGAACAGCGTATATCCACGTCTGGGAGATCGCCGATCATTCAGATATGGCCGCAAGTATCCATATTGGTCTTTGAGCAAAGTGGAAGCGCATGTCGGGGGCGATACAGTTGGAGTAGCTCGACTACATCAGTTAGGCAATGACAGAGCCAAACTGCATCTTGATATGGCCCAGCACATAGTCAGACATGGGATAGATCAAGTGGAAGTGAATCTCTTTGGCCGTATGTATGGCCAGTATTCTAGAACGCTGTCTCAAAACCAAAGAAATTGTTGGGCAAATTGAACAGTGCACCCAAGATCCCGAAACCCTTGGCTTTACCCGCGGGCCGTAATGCCCTCAACGCCCGATGGAACGGGTTCAAAAAGCATTGTCTGGACTGTGCCTGTTTTCTGGTTTTCAAGAAGCCGGATGGATTTTGTGCGGCCCTGACTCCCTCAATGCGTTCTTTAATTTCTAAGGTCGTGTCCCCCAGCCCTCACACCCTGCACGCCGCCAAGATTATTCAATCTTCCTTGCCTGTGGTGATGTGCCTGGGGTATGGGGCTTATTGTACGGCCCCCCACGACAGTTGCTACATCCCTGTGCGGAAGTGTTCGTGCAGTAGCGATGGCAGCTGCTGAGGGGGGGACCTTCCCTGGCCGCGGGGTCATAAGATAAACTAGCCCTGGCGCCCCAGACTCGCGCACAGTGACGAGGCAGAGAGGTGGACAAGGCTAACTTGGTTGAGTTTGACTCTCAGCAGCTCATGCAATCAGAGACTGGGAGAGTGAAGCGAGAGCCACTGGGAAGTCAGCAGAGATGACAGAAAAGGGTGGAGGGAAGGTGGAGTGAGTGAGAGAGGGGGATCACTGAGCAGAAGGGCTGGGGCTCGAGTGATGCAAGAGACTTCTGCTCAGGTCTTCCACTTCCCCCCCCCGCCCCCGCGACGGGAAGGCCGGGCTGGGCCTCCAGGCGCTCCCTCAGCCTGTCCTCTGCCGAGTCTGCCCGCGCGCGTGCACAACGCAACGCTGCTTGCAGGCGGGCCAGCTCGCCCGTGAGCTCGCCCGTGAGCTCGCTGGCGGCGGCGATGAAGGAGGATGTGCGAGGGAGGGGTGGGGGGAACAGTGAAGGAGCAGGAGCATCAGGACGAACACAAGCATCAAGAGAACCCATCCATGTGTTCCTCTGCACGGCTCCCCATTATACATGTTGCGCTTCCCTTAACCATCTTCGCAATCAATTTCGTCATCGTATGGTTTGCCTTCTTCTCCTCAGTGGCATGTGCATTATCCTGTCCCATGCCTCAAGAACGACCCGACTTCCACGGGGCACTGGCCACACAAGCGGATCTCCACGGCCCTGGCATATTTTCTGTGATGTCCTGCATGCATGTAGTGGGCCTCGTCGTCGCCACATCACCTCCCCTTCTCCACCTCAACTCCGTCTTCTCCTCCTGTTGCTCGCACTCCTCCCCCGTTCTGTTTTTCCCTCCATCCTCATCTCCCTCCTCCGTCTCCCAGTCCTCATCATCCTGCCACTCTTCCCCCCTGTCCAGCCCCCTGTCGTCATCGTCGACTGCTTCGTCCTCCTCATTCGCATTGCCATCGTCGTCATCCTCTCTGTCCTCCCCCCGTCCCCCTCGTGCTATAACTCGTTATCATCCTTGTCCTCGGTATTTGTCCACCTACTCCTCCTTATCCTCCTCCCTTCCCTTCTCCTCTTCGTTGTCGTTGTCGGATTATATTGCTGCTCCTCTCGGCATCTCCCCTCCTCTTCGTCGTCATCGTCGTCCTCCTTCTAAGTCTCCTCGTCATCCCTCTCCTCCTTCTGCTCGTCCTCAATATCCTCGTCCTCCTCGACATCCTCCTTGCCATCCTCGTCCTCCCCGTCTTCCTCGTCCTCATTCTCCACAATCATCGTCCTCGTCCGCCTCCCTATACGTCCTTGCATTCGTCCTCGTCGCGCGCTTCATCCTCTGCCTCCTCCTGCTCCAGAAATGTGCCGCAACTCCGCCTGACCGCAGCAGGGGGCACACCGCGGCGCTGCCAAGCCTCGCCCTCTGGGGCGCGAGGCTGCCTGACCGTTCGGCGCGGCCGGCCAGCTGGGCAAAGGAGTAATCCGATGGGGTGAAGGGAGGGGGGGGAGGAGGGAGACGAAGCGGGTGAGGGGGACAAGGGAGGGAATGTAACCGAGGGGAAGGGGCCAGATGGCGAGGCGGGAGAGGGAGGAATATGAGGGAGGAGGGAGGGACCGGGGAACAGTGAGATCAGGGAATGACGAGCCCACCCAACACCACCCTCCCAGACGGCCGCCAAGCTTGAACTTGTGAAGGTCGGGTGGCGGGCGGCACTGCGAATCTCGAGCGCGGCATGCTGCAAACATCAACCTTACTCTGTCGAAAACGATTCTTACCTTGGCTCTACCCGAGCCTGGTTCTGTGAGAGCGACATGGGAAACGGAGAACGTATCGACTGGTCCCACATGTTCTCGCTGAAGGTGCCGATTGTTGAGAGATTGGCTACCAGGCTCAAGGAAGAAAGCCGCAGTAAAGCGGTGCTTCCTATAAAGCCATCGGGGTCACACGAGGAAGATCGGAGAGATACGAAACCTCCAGGCAAAGTCAACAAAATCGACTGCGGCTGTTATCGTGGAGGTAGCGACTCTGTCCCGCGTGCAGTTTGACAGTGCGCGCAGCCATCTATATGTATACAACACGTCGCCAGGAAGGGAAACTTGGAAACTGGTAACGCAAACACAACAAATTCGAACCGACTCCCTAGGATTAAAAACATAATCCCCCACCGCATATTTCAGTTTCGTTTGGATCCGTTGAAGAAGCTACAGGACGCCCCGCCTCGGCTTAAGTGGCCTCGGGAGCAGCTATGCCAGGCTTGGCAGAAGAATGCCCAGCCATACCCCAGGAATTGAACCACTCCGAATCCATCCAGAGACGCGCCGTAGAATAATGGGATGTGGCTATTTCGGCGGGGCGACCTCGCCAGAAAAGGCAAGGGCATCCCAGACCCGTCCTCCTCGTCCTTCGTCTCCTTCTCCTGCTCCTCATCACCTCCGCCTCCGACTCCTTCCCCAACTCCTCCGTTTCCTCCAACTCCCCCTGTCCCTCGTCCCCTTCCTCCTCATCCCCTCCTCTTCCTCCTCCTGCACGGCTCCCGGAGTCGCGTCACTGGAGGGAGGGGAGGGGATTGGGGGCGGCTCCACGTGGCTCCCCAAAGCTGGGCCAACCAAATACTGATTCCTGTGAGCGGTGATCCCCGCTTGCCCCGCCAACGTGCGTCCCACAGGGGCATTGGCTGACCCCGTCAGCGCTGGCAACCCATGTGCGCCACGACTGGCCCCGCAGACGTTCAGCCGAACCTGGCCAGAGGAGAGGCTGCGACGTGATTCGGCACGGCCACCCGCCTGGTGGGGGCGGCCGCGCCGCCTCGCCCACCTGGGCGCGTGACCAGACCATAGCCAACCGCTCCTCATGCTCCTCATCGTCCTCGTCCTCGCCTTCCTCGGAGAAAAGGGTCAAAGCTCCTGAGCGCTTTCGGTCCTGTTGGGACCTCTGGAGGCCTCCAGGGACCTCGAAGGCCCACGGGTCTCCAGGGGGGTCACCATCTTGGGCGTCCTCCCTGCTCCTGCTTTACTCCTGCACCCGTGGTTGCTGCTCCTCCTCCTGCTCGGTATTTTCCTCTGGATCCTCCTCTTCCTCCTCTTCTCTTCGGTATCACCATGGTCCTCGTGGTCATGTGATTCCTCATTCTCCTCCCTCTCCTCTCGCTGATACGCCCCTCTCCCCACCTCCTGCCCAGTGGTCTGGCCCTCGCTGTTGATGCCCCCCGCCCTCGTTGAGGTTGTGGAGGAAGCGCAAGCGGAATAGGGAGACGGGCGCGGCGCGAGGAGGAATGATCATGGATCAGGGAAGAGGGAGAAGAGAGGATGAAAAGCACGTGCATGAGGGTCAGAAAATGCCGGCGGAGATGGAAGAGGAGCAACCGGACCGAATGTAATCGGTTAAAGACTTAGATGGGGGGAGCAGCACACGCCGGAGCATAGCATCGGTCGTGGCTTGGCCAACAATACTTATCAACTTGTGGGTATGGGATGAAATCTAGCACGTGACTAAACATGTATTTCTACCAACTAGCAGACGGCGCGTTAAAAACTAAGTAACACGGATCACTCACTAATGTGTACTTGATGTCGGTTTGTGTTGTTGCTCGCGGCCTTCAGGTGCCAACAAGCCGCCTGTAGGCAAGAACCCTTAGTGAAGCGTAGAAAGTAAAACGCAATTCGTATCACATAAAACACAACAGCATAAATGATCGTGTTAGCAGCAAGCGGGGCAGTGGGCAATTGACAATTGCGGCAGATCGCCACTATTATTGACAGTGGAAACCGTATGGGTCATGGTACATGCCAAATTCGTGTTACTGTGGTAATGGTTGTGGCTGTACGGCGTTGGTATTGCATTGGCAATGAGAGTGGCAATGGACGCGTTATCATTCGTAGACACTAATAGGTGGGTTGCGCCATGCCGCCCCGTTGTTTACGGCAGAGGTTGCGTCCAGGGAGGCTGCGCTATGGGTTACACAATCTGATGCGTTATGGGTTGAACCGTTGGAAATTACGGTGCATGTTGCGCCGTAGGTGTCTCCATGAGTTGCGCCCTCGACCGCCGAAATTGAGAACGGTTTGCTGTTGGCTGCGTCGCAGGTTGCCCCCCGTACCGCCGAATCGTTAAAGGTCCTGCTGTTGGTTCCGCCATTGGCGGTGCCCTCTGAAGCAAGTTATTGGTTACGCGAAACCTTGTGCCATCGGCTGCCGAACGTCACGCTGCATTCGAACGGGCGCGACCAACCATTCGGTCACCCCTACCTTTTAAACAAATCTGGCCCAAAAAAAACGACCCAAATGTATGCAGCTGTGTGTGGCGCAAAACGTGGCCCTCTCCTCATACCGATAGGACCACCCTTCGGGTGATCAGGAGGTTCGGGGGTGGGGAGGGAGAGGCCTTCTATTTGCGATGAGCCCCGCCTGCCGCCAACTGAGAGCGCGCGACGGAATAGTTGCCAACGTCCGACCGAGCGACCTATCAATTTTGATACCTGTCGATATACCCACCGACCCAATTACCGATCCATCTATCTAAATATGTACCTATGTATATATGTATGTGTCCATCTATCTATGAATCGATCTAATCATCTACCCACTTATCTCTCTATATATGGTGCTGTTGGTGATGATAATGAACGGTCCTGGTGGTGGTGGCGGTGGTGGTGGTGATGGCGGGATGGTGTGGCGTTGCTGGCCACGTGTCATGATGTTTGTTCGTGCATCCTGATGCACCTTGCGCGCCCACTTCTATACCGAACGCCGGTGCCCACTTGGGTGGCGCATGCTCTAACGGCTGCGCACTCGAGAAAAAACGCACCCCGTTGCAATACCACGCGTTTTCGGAGCACTATCAGAGCTTGGTGCCACTCAGTCGCGCGACGACAAGTACACATAATGGACATCGTTGTTGCCGAGATATAGAGAACGTCGCCCGCGCCACCTGGAAGCGAAGCAGCGCCGTGCGCGGACGGCGCCCACGTGAGGCTGCAGAAGTCGGCGTATACAGAACGCAACAAATACGGATTCGCAGTTCAAATGCGACGGCCGTGACAACAAGCTCGCCAGCGTATTGCAAAAAGGACAACGCAGGGTAAAGTTTGGTAATGAAGCCTGGCCGCGTCATGGCTGCGGCTGCGCCGCCGCAGACGCGCGTCCGCAGCACCTCGGCGCGCGCGCGCCCAAGTCGGCGCGCCGGTGGCCCTGGCCCGTCGCGAACGCCGGCGCGCGCCTTCGCCGAGGAGGACGAACTCGCGGGGTGATCTCCCGGCAGAGCCCGGGCCAAAACCTACGCGCTGCTCTCCGCCAAACTTGCCCCCGAGCAGTGCCAACAGCACGCGGCATGGGTTCGACCTGTGCACTGGCCGAAATTGCAGACCTCCACGCTGGGCCGGCAGTTCCGAGAGCGCTGCGCGCCTGCTCGCGCGCGGACAAGTCTGCCAACTTCTGGCAGTCGATGGACCTGACTGTCTAGCGCAAGTGCAGTCGAAAGCGGGCCTTGTGGTCCTGCTTGGCGCGCTTGCCGCCCACGCCGTTCAGCGGAAGCAGGGGCTCCTTGCCGAGCGCGAACGACGCGCTCTCCAGCGCGCGGGCGACGTCGTCAGCTCGGAAACCCATTTCCTGCATGGTCCGCACAGCAGAGTCCTCGCTCCGAGTGTCTTCGAGCAGCGTCGCGACGGCCGCGCTGGGCTGAGTTGGAACCCGCGCCGAAGAGCATTAGGGCCACGAGTCAACGAGGGCGCCGATGACTGGCAGAGCCTGGTCACCGACCCGTCGCCTGCCTCACTCGGGCCTTCCTTGGGCTCGCGCTCTCTGGTCTCGCCTATTTTCTCAGCGTGGAGCGAAGCTACAAATGCCCGCGACATGACGCCTTGGCGACCGGGCTCTTCCGAACAGCACTTCGCAATTATATCGGAGAAGCGCCTTCGATGGCGGGCGCTGCCCGCAAGTCGGAGATCTCGCTGTCGAACGGTTCCTTCTGCCCCAGTGCGCGGGTCGCCTGCTTGAAGTCGACTTCGCGCGCTCGCGCGAGCGCCTCCGCCGCCGTGCCCAGCCGTGCCGGACGCGCCAAGAATCCAGCGCCCGCTTTGGCCTCGAAGGCCGACCTGGCCTCGTAGTCTCGGGTGAGGCGCGCAGCCGCGAAGTCCTCGATGGGCGAAAATGTGGGCGGCCATGCGCCCCCAGCACATCACGCCTGTAAACCGCGAACGCAAGCGCCAACTTGCTCGCGAAAGACGACCGGGCGCCAGCGAAGGAGACGACGCGCCCCTCGCGCGCAGTGGTGCCCTGAGACTTGTGCATAGTGAGAGCCCAAGCCAGGCGGACTGGAACCCCTGCGCGACTGGTGCCGGACATGGTGTTCTTGTGCACAACCTCCACGCTAAGGACAGGCACCCGCGTCTCGGGCAGATTTGCGGAACGCGGCGGGCCGGCGTAGTCCGGGAAAGGGGCCGCGACGAAATCAAGCAGGGGGCAGGCCTCCAGACCTCGAGCAGTAGCTTGGCCGCGAACTGGAAAAGTCAGATCCTGCCGGCGCGCTGCAGCCCACTCGCTGCTCGCCTGGCGCCGAGTGCAAGATCGTAACCACAGCTTCCCAAACTCCATTCATCAGACCCAGAGGCACGGCCCCGACGCCCCACGATCGCATTTGCGACGGCATCACACGCGCTCCGACGCATAAGTTTGCGCACGTTGCGGAACTCCTCTGCTCTGCGAGATTCGCCGCGCCCATGGCTATGGCGCGCCTCGCGCCAAACAGCAACGGGCTAGCAGGGCCTGGCTCGCCATGGAGCGGCGCCATTGCTGCGAGCTGGTTCCCGTTGACCTGGCC